AAGTCAAATTCAACCTCACTTTTTCCTTTGTAGAGCGATTGAACTGAAACTTCGGTGCTGCCACACATACCAAAAAATGTCGAAAAACAAACTGAAAACGGAAACAATGAAAACGCACGTTTTTTAGTGCACATTTTCACTATATGTATATCAAAGTATGCATACCCCCATTTTTTATTAAAAACGTTAAATATATATTGAAGTATTGAATTTGTAGAAAAGCTCTGAAGGCGATAATTTGTAATAAAAAATAACGCGATTTTTGATTAAAAATTTTCTTTATATACAGAGAATCAAAAAAAGCGCCGCAGGCGGAAATTTGTAGGCGATTTTTTATTACAAATTTTCAATATTTATTGAAATAAAAAAAGCGCCGCTTTGCAGCAAAATCAGCCTTGTCGTGGGTTTCATTTTCCCCAAACCGGTTCACATTTCACTTTTGGTTTCCATGTATTTAATATGGGCGGAATACATATTTTCGAGTGAATTGCAAGGCAGAATATTGTTTTCCCTTGACATTTATATATTTTATATAATTTATATTTCGTAATGCCTAACAAAGTATTTTTGGGTAAAGTTTTCAACGATCTGGCATTACATACTTCGCGGCCATCGCTCACCAATTGTGCGTTTACAGATTGTTTGCGAATACAAACTTATTTAAAGAACACTTTTATAAGCATTAATTGTTAAATATTTAGTAAAAAAAATGTCCATTCATTTGTTTATGAAGAAAAGGTGATATAATAATGAAGAGAACAGTGGTTAGTGCAGTGTTTATATAAAAAATATGTAAACAAATAACTTTAAAACTATTAGCATTTCTACGCAAAATTCTGGCGACCGTTAGCAACAAAAATTCGGAAAACCAACGCCAGTTTTTGTTAATCGCAATTTTATATAAAAAATTATAAATACTCGCTGCCTATTGCTAATGGGGTTCCGCAAGGATCAATCCTTAGTCCTTTACTGTTCGTGTTGTATATTAATGACCTTCCAACTGTGTTAAAATATAGTAATGTCCATGTTTACGCAGACGATGCCCAACTGTATCTTAGTTGTCCCCCTGCATCTGGCAACACATGTATAACTTACTTATAGCGTTTTCGTTTCTACCGGAAAAGGTTACCTTCTCTTTGCCCTCTACGCACAAATATGAAGAAGGGGGCAATGAGAAGACAACATTTTTTGTAGAAACTAAAACGCTATTAAACAGCGACTTGTATTCTTTGAATTAGTCTTTAATCCGAGCAAATCCAAGTGCATTTTTATCAGGGTAGCCAACTCATTTTTGAGAATTCTCCGATTTCGCCAATGAAATTCCCCGATTTCGCCCAAAATTTCGTAAGATTCCCCACCCATAGACCTTATTACAAAAAAAAAAAAAAACTGTTTATATTTTGATATATTTCTGGTATTTCCGTTTATTTTATTTTTAAATATGTATAATTCATCTATGTATTCATAAACCAAACCAAAATTTTATTAAGTTTGTTAGCAAAAAAAGAAAAATAAAAAATGTACATATAATATTTACATACATACAGCGGTTCACAGTTATTATTATTTTTTTTTGCTATTTAATTGGAGTTAATCTTATCAAAATATAATTCATTCTTTAACAAAAACCATTTAAGTCCAAATTTCAAACTTTGCGCAATATTTAAAAAAAAAAAAATCAACAAACTTTCGTAGAAATTTCGAACTTTTTAATTAGATTTTCTGAAAAAATTTTGAGTATGCAGTTTTGAGTGGGCTTGTTCTAGTATAAAAAGTGAAAGTTTCAAGTACCTAAAAACTGTACTATTATTTTTTTTTTTTTGCCGAAGGAGTTGCTTGCGGTTTTCTTCCAAATAAAATAAATTGTGTTTATTCTTTATTTGAAAGCAAATGCTACAAAGAAAATTCTAAAAAATCAACGGTAATTATCAGCAATTTGACACTATTATACAAGAATTGAACGAGATTCAAAATTGCATACGGCTCATTCTACGGTGGCGGGTGAGACATTGCAACTTACAGTTTTTATTAATCATTATGAAATTAGTGAAGCGAAAAATTAAAATTATTTACACCTAATTCCTCAAAAAAAAACAGTTCATCCCCCGCTTCCCCGTGTAAACTTAAACTCCCAAGAAAAAACGGTCCATTCCCCACGCAAGCTGAAATTCCCCGCTAATCGGGGAATTCTCCGCGAGTTGGATTCCTTGATTGTTATTTATAAGAAACTTTTGAAATTTGACGACTATAACGAGGTTAATCTGAACAATTCTGTGATAAAATACGTGCAAAAAAATTTAGGAATAATTTTCAACAGTACTCTGGCGTGGAATAATCACATTCTTGGCACTATTGGCAAAGTATATGGCATGCTTCGGACCTTATGGGGCATTCAGTACTTTACACTGTTGAAAATTCCACTGTTACTGGCCAAAACATACTTGCTAACGTCGCACAGTGGGGCAAAGAAGGTTGCTCTTGACAAATGAATTTTGAGAGCCCAAATATGAACCGATTTCAAGTTTCTTTTCTTTAAATAAAAGATAATTAAATTTCGCGTCGACCTATCCATGGCGATTTTTTAAAAATGCTCTGGTTTTTTATTTATTTATGTTGAAAAATGAAAGAAAAAAATGTTCACGATTGAATGCTTCCACTTTTTTGGAAAATACTTGAAATTAATTTCAAATGTCTGCAATTCTGTAAAAAAAATATTCATAAACATTTCTCCATAGGACACGAGATAAGCTGTACCGGTTTTATTGAAATTTTGGACACCGACTCTAGACCCTCAAAGGATATAATAGAAGAAAAATTATTTCGATATGGATATTGAAATATGCGTGACATATCTCTGGAAGTATTCATCGTAGAGTGCTGAACTTAGTGCAGAGATATATAATATCAACGCCAAACTCGTTGAAAAAAATGGAAATTATTGAAAAGGGGGGCGTGGCACCTCCCATACATACTGAATTTCTCACACCCTATACACATTTTAATTTGAGAAATTCAGTTTGTATGGGAGGTGCCACGCCTCATTTTCCAATTTCTCCCATTTTCCCCCCATGAGTTTGGCGTTGATATTATATATCTTTGTACTAAGTTGCAGCACTCTACGATCAATACTTCCAGAGATATGTTGTATGAAAACTTTAGTTTGTATGGGAGGTGCCACGCCCCCTTGATATATCGAAATAATTCTTCTTCTATTATCATCCCTTGAGGGTCTAGAGTCGAGGTCCAAAATTTCAAAAATATCGGTACAGCTATTCTCGAGTTTTTCGATTAGAAAAAAACGGCTTTAAAAAATATACCAGTATAGATGACAAATTAAAAATACATATCTTTTTAATTAAATGTTTCCTATGGAAAAATGTTTATAAATAGTTGCTTAAATAATTGCAGGCATTTGAAATTAATTTCAAGTATTTTCCAAAAAAGTGGAAGCATTCAATCGTGAAATTTTTTTTCTTTCAGCATAAATAAATAAAAAAAAACCAGAGCATTTTTAAAAAATCGCCACTGATAGGTCGACGCGAAATTTAATTATCTTTTATTTAAAGAAAAGAAACTTGAAATCGGTTCATATTTGGGCTCTCAAAATTCATTAGTCAAGAGCAACCTTCTTTGCCCCACTGTGCGACGTTATTATATGGTTGTGAAATGTTTGCTAATTGTGATAGTATTTGTAGTAGGAAACTAAATGTTCTTTACAACATTGCGCGATATATTTTTGTCATTACTAAGTAGAACTCTCCTTTCTGTGTTGCCGGAAAAGAGGGGCGAAAGTATTTTTGCCCAGAACTTCTTCCTGCGTATTCATATTAGAAAAAAAAAACGAAATTATCCATATACGCACTTTACTTTTAAAAGCAAAATAATGCATATGAAAAAACGAAGTAATGGATGCACGCAAAGTTTCGGTTCAAACCGAAATAACAATACATACCTATTGCCTTTTTGTAAGCCGTTAGGCTTTCATAATGCATTCCGCTGTGTAGTCATTCCAGAGCAGATTGATGTCGATAATTACTTTTAAATACTTGGCGGTACTTTTGAAAACAAGCAGGCATCATTTTCATAGTTATAAAGGTAAGATAGTATGTAAAGAGAAGTAACTCAGTCTTAGTTGGGTTTACCTCTAAACCGCAGTTTTTGTTTACCAGTTAACTAGTGAATCGAAAGAGGTCACGGAGGTTGCGTAAGTCGCAAATTGGCTAAATTATACGACTCGACGGCATTGTCTACTGTCGTGCTGAAATACGTAAACGATGAACATCGTCGAAAACTATACAGTGCTGCCAAGTTTTTTCGTTTTAATACATTAGTCGAGTGGAAATTTTAGACAATGACGTGAAATTTTCGATACGATTCGACTCTGGAAAAACGAGTTGCATTCGACACGACTCTCGCAATGAGGGTGATTAATTTTCATAGCTATACAGTGTACTTAATGGATACTTATAATTGCTTACCTCAAACCCACCACACAATACCATCACCACGACTTCACTCACATTTGCGGAAATTTTCTAAATGCTTTCAATAAAATATAAGTAAAACTCGCCATTTTTCTCAAACTGCTTTAAATCGCAGTTAACACAGAAATATATGAATGTATTTATTTTTCGCTCTCCAAATATCACTTCATAGATAACCAAACTTACATACTTAGTTATCGAAATATATTCAATGCTCGGCCTTTTTAGCAAAATTATTTATAACCGAATTGTTGTTCTGGTCTAGTGAAAATATTATACATAAATCTAATTAAGCCAAATTTATTAGCTACAATAGTTTTTTGATGGCACGTACAGAAGTACATACTTATGTACATACATATGCGCATTAATACATATAAATATTTATCTAAATAAATGAAATTGAAATGCACACATAGTTCATTGTGGTTTTTGAGCTGTGTTTTATAAATTTTTATTTAAGTATTTAGAATCCTGAAAATGATTTTTATGAGTACAGAAAAACAATTTGAAACATATAGTTTGTGTGAGTTATTTTCTGATTTTTAATAAATTTTTTAACTAACGCAATATGTAATACACAAAACTTCAAAGCGAATACTAAGTTTTCCATAATTTCAATCTATATATGTAGGTATGCATAATTTCATCACTTATTTATTCATAATTTGTATAACGATGAGCTGAGACGAGCTTCTTCTTTTTTATTACCGCTTTTGTCACGCCATTCTGCGGGAAGTGGATAATTTTACGCATTGTTGTTGTTTTGGCGTTCTTCTTTTATTGAAAATATATCTATGTATGTTCTTCATATGTGCGTGAACTGGTGAGGCAATTTACAATTGCTTGTCGAACAAGAATTCGGCAATAGCGCCCTGGGAGTCCATCATCTTGGTGAGAGTGCTCAACTTGCCAGCCAAATCGCGCTCTCCGGTGAGTTGTTCCTCCAAGTATTCTGTAATTAGCCAGTCAGACAAGTGGTACCAACTGGGCGACGACTTCTCGCAGGTCTTAATCAAAGAACGAATGCTCTGGGTGACCTTGGTTTCCAACTCGAGTGCCTGGCGGAGGGCATCAACACCGCTGTCGATCTTAACGTCAACGTCCTGCAAGAAGGAAATTGCCAAGATGTAGTCGTTAGTTGAAAGTCAAACAGGCCATATAGATATCATCGTATGGGACGAATGGGATAATGCGATAAGTAGATGCTATTTTTATAGAACTGTTTGTGAGTACTTACAATAAGCTGAATCAACTCGGTGACGTCCTTCGTCAATTGGCCGCGCATGGATAGATATTCAATGAGCTTTCTACCATGTTCACGCTCCTCGCGTGCCGACTTGAAGAAGTGTTCGGCGAAACCGGGACGATTGATGAGGTCGCGTGAGAAGTGGGCAGCCATGGCCAGGTAGATGTTGGAGGCGTTGATTTCCATTTGGACTTGATTACGCATTTCCTGTAAACATTTTCCGGTGGTATCCCTAAGGCCGACCCATTCGTTTGGAATACCGTGCTGCTTCAAACGGCCTTAAAAAAAAATACGAAAAAAACAAAGTTAGAAAAATTTTAAATAGAAAGAAAATGGCTTAGGCTAAGCTTCAATTTTTTTCTGCTTACACAATCCACTTACATACATACATATATATAAATGTAAGTATGTATACAAACCTAAATACATGCGATTTAAACAGAAATTTGAAAACTAGCGCAGATGTCCCTTCCAATGTCAGAAATTTTGTTCGGCTACATACATATGTATATAGAAATCCGCTAGTTTACAAATGCCTATGTTTTGTGTGCATCCATAAGAGCGAATATTTACATTCAATTAAAACATAACTACGAGATCATTTTCTTATCAACAAATGCCATGGAATGACGCCATTACAAACTCTTCAGACATAATTCAGACATAATTTCATGTACAAATAAGTAAACAATTGTGGGCAGTGCACGGACTTAAGAAAATGTATTGCGGTAGATTTTACATATTAAAAATGGTAGAAGTTGGTAGATTTTTTTAAAGAAGCATTCATATATAGTTTCTACTGATATAGGACAAATCAAGGCGAATTAATGTAAGAAGATGGATTTTCGCCTCGGTGGTTATTAATATCAAAACTTTTACATAAAACTGGGCCCGAATCACGGCATCCCTGATCGAGTGAAACTCGATTGGAATCGAATGAAATCAAGTGACACCTTTTTTTCTCCAATACAATTTAAACTGGAAAAGGGAGCTACCGAATGCCGTAATCTAAAAAAGAAATTTCGAATCGATTCGATCACGGATTTCGTGAAGTGCTTGAAGTTTGCAACCCATTAATTGGGCAGTAACCAAAACAAAGGTATTGCAAAGGAAAAATATTTTCATAAATAGCTAATAGAGATGCAATTTCACTTTTTAATTGGTTATGGTCAAATTTAGCTTTTCATTTTTATTCTAAGTGTGTTCGATGACAAAATATGTTAGTTTAAATCTCTTGTATCACTTCCGGAAAATATTAGCAGATTTTTAGCCGCTGTTGGTAAAAGATGGTAGAAAATAAAATATAGTTAAAAAGTAGGTAGATCTAAAAAAAAAGTGGTGAAGTCCGTGCACTGATTGTGGGTCTAAGTCAGGCTTGCGCTTAGGAAACTTTAAACAATCAAATACATACATATGTACATAAGTGCACGGGTATTTCGAGGGCAACAACAACGCTCAACACATTATTTCACACGTTCCCACAGTGGCTTGATCAACAACGGCAGTTCTGAAAAACAAAGGGGGGATTTAAGAGGTATGTACGGCGTTAAACAAAGCAACGTTTCGCTGCTACTAGTCAACTAGTGCCGTGCGCAAAAGTCTCTCAAATTAACTTCTCTGCGGAATGAGTAGGTAAAATGTTGGGTAGGTACCGAACTACGAGTGGATCTCAGAGCGCACATTCGATGTGTCACTTTCATCTTGCCAAGACGAAGTGCTCAATTCTATGTACTACATACATACATATATACTATGTACCTACAGTAGGTGGCAAAATTGACAAAGTAAAAATGTAAAGATTTATTTTTCGTCAAACTAAAAAATCGACTGAGTTAGAACTACATAGTTTTATCTTAAGTAGAAAGTTGCTTTCCAAAAATAATATTCATTTAAATATCCTTTTTCAGGGTGGCGTATGCTTTCTCGCATTGAATTTGGATTGCGTGGCGAACACTTTAAATCTTTGCTGCAATATTCCTGCACTTTTTGTTTATGTAACTCGGCGCTTTATCCTGCTGTAACTGTAACTTCTTATTTGGTGGCATCTACTGTTCGAATAGGTTCTAATTAGATCTTTTGCGCAGCTGAGATCTGAATATGTTATATTAGGTATAAGTACATCCCGTTTACAGATACCCAATATCCACCCTTCTATGATTTAGTAATTGGTTGGGAACAAGCGTAAGAAAAATTTGTTGAAGTGAAGGAATATGCAGAAGTGAAAAATTTCATCGCTATACCGATTACCAATAGCTCATTAGAACAAAATATGAATTCATTTTTAGTATGGATATTCAAAACTTTACATAAAGCAGCTTTAATTCTGCTTGAAAACAAAATGTAATGCAAGAACGTTCCCACGAAAGAACCAAACGGGAACAAACGTATTGAGAGCGGTTTGAATTGTGAACAATACTGTCGGGAACATTCTCAAGAAAAACAGAATGAGAACGTTTCCAATGAGAACGAAAGTATCGGGGACGTTTTTAAAAGTTCAGTTATGCAAGACTTAGACTTGACTTGGCAAATGAGCAGCGCGTGTATGTAGTTACTCAAAATTACAAATTCACTTAGAAGCTATTAAGATTTCTGCTATTAAAACGTTCTGCTATAGAACAGAAGTTTTGACAACTTAACGTTTAGAATGAGTATTGGTAGGAAATATTGATAATTTCAACATAAGCGTTAACTGTTCATTTGTGGAACAATTTTTAATTTTCTATGAAAGAAAAGTTCGTGTTTTAAGTATTTCGTTGACTTAATTTGCATTATTATGTTTCAGTTCTTTTTTGACTAATTTAGTATTCAAACATTTCAAACTAATGAAAGCGTTATGGAAATTTTTGGTCTCTTCTTCCTTTCTTCCCGAATAGTTCAGAGAAGATTTGTTCCGGTTTAGTTCTTTTCCGAAAAGTTCTGGACAGTAACAACTTCAGGTTAAGACAACTTTTCAAACACATTTATAAATCAAATTGTCTAATATCCACCACAAATTTAATTTTATATTATAATCATAAGCTGACATCATTTTACCACCTACTGTATGCACACACATACATATGTATATATTTATATGTACCTACTTATACTAAGTACCTGCCCTGCAAACCAAATCTGAACGAGTATCTTATTTCTGTAACGATTTTTTACGAATCTTCAAAGAAAATTATATAAAACAGTTGACACGAACTCGTAAAGAAATTTCTGTGCGAAAAATAAAAACAAAACTGAAAAAATTCTGCAAGAAATTCTTCACATAGCAGCATTATTTTCATTGCTTTACCGAGTTTCTACCGAAATTTCGTAAAAGAATCGAAGTGTGCACAGTTTATTGCATTTTAGAAAATTCGGAAAAAATCAGATGATATCTTTACGAATTCTTTATAATTTTTCTACAGTTCAGAATACGCTAAAAACAATTGTTTGCAGGGTGGGTATATATAAATATAATAATAAGTATAAATATTTAGCAAAGGGGGCTTTCTGGGGCGAACATTGAGACTGGGGCATTTTACTGTTATTGAAAACAAAGTTTCGAGAACTGATTTTGAGAAAACAATAGGAAATGAAAGTAAAATTGTGTTGGTTATACACTATTTAACTCTCCGTCAGACACATGTCTCGATTGGCACATTTTGTACACATGAGTCTGGCTGGACCCACATGCAAATTGTATACATTTATATAGAAAATATGTGCAACATTTGTTCAGTTAAACTTGTTTATTGTATGTTATTCAAATATTTCAGCAATTTGTCCTTATTATCTAAGGTATAAAGCCTAGTATACAGAAAAATTAACAAGTGATTCACAGCAAAAGCGCAAGGCAACTATCTTTACTCAGTTTTGAACTTTTAGGAGGTATATATCAAGAGGATTGTGGAGACTCCTTCGCTTTTAATAGCGATTTTCATACGTCTGGGAATGCTTTCTACTGAGTTTTCTATGATTTCGCTTGGAATATTACCCCATTATAATTTTGCTCACCTCCAAGACTCTTCCATGTTACTGGAGCTCGCTTGTGCTATGCTAATCCTCTCTTGACCACAGCGCTCAATTTTTCGATAGATTTGAGGTCTGGAATTTGTGTTGGCCACCATGTTAGATGTTTTTCTTGGCATGGTGTTTTTGAAGATATTGATAAGGTCTTTACCAAAAATATGCCTTTTTATCGCTTTGGAAACAATTAATTTTCGATCCATCGGACCATATTACCCCTTTTCAGTTCAAAAGCTCGAATTCTCGTGACTTACAAAATTTAAGTTGCAGCTTAATGGCTTGGGATGTTTTGCTTGCTGGTATTTGGTGTATTGGGTTAATGTAAAAGGTATAATGAACATATCCTCCAAACAAATTTGCCGGACTTTGTAGACAAAAGCGCAAACCTTGCGGAAGAAGTTGTTTGCCAGCAGGACGGAGATCCAAAGGATTATAAAAATATTCAACACCGCCGGCTGCTTGGGCAAAATTTTCCCAAATCCCAGACCTCAACGTCATCGAAAAATTGAGCGCTGTGGTCAAGAGAGGATTAGCATAGCACAAGCGAGCTCTGAGTAACTTGGAAGAGCTTTGGAGGCGAGTAAAATTATAATAGGGTAGTATTTCCTTGCATTCCGTTGCATTCCTTCATTTTAGGTAACAAGTAATTTTTAGAAAAAAAAACCCGACTTCAATTCTCATATAAAAAAAATATATATAAACTGGTGAGCCCGCAAGGCGTCAAAACGCCAACATTTGATTAAATTTTTTAAACAGGTGAAACCCTATTCAATAATCTCTAAAAATATTCCTAATGATTAATCTAAACCATTTCTCAGTGGTGTTTTTAAAGTTTACGACATATAACAATACGACACTTACGACACCTTTGTGAATCCCCCAATAATTTCTTGAAGCTCTTTCAGTTGACATCCATCGCTCATATTTCATATAACTTGGGTATAAAATAGTTTAATTAGACTTCTTAAATAGGTGGCAACCCTATTCAAAATATTTCCAAACTACTACCTTCTTAAACCTCTTTTATATGACACCCATATAGCGATACCTTACTCACTTACCAAATTCCTTTACATAATTAAAATTGAATAAAATTTTTTTTATATATGGCAGCCCTCCTATACGTAGTTAAGTTATAAAGCCTTTTCAAAACCATTTCGATTGCTACCCATATTTAATAATTGATTTAGCTTATTAATTAATTTGAGCTTAATTTCTTAACATTTTCTTTTCTTTTTCGAAAAAGTAAAACCTTCTTGAACATCCACACCCTAAGCCCTTTAATTTGGTACCTCACTTTTGAAAATCGAACGGACGGTGCGGATCTGAGGGCATTGATTAGTAAATAGCTTGAGTATAATTATTTAACAGGTGGCAACTCCTTTCGAAAAAATAAAACCAGTTTGCACATCTACAGGCCAAGCGCTTTAATTTGACACCCCGAACGAATGGCGCAGATCTTTTATGCGGCACAAAAAATGCCTTCGCGTGTTATATATATAGATATATCTCTTGAGCCACTGATCGGATCTTAACCAGATTAGTATGGGACCACCTCTGAGGTACTACCTTTCCGATGGAAAAATAATTATCGATTGACGTGGTCCAAAGTTATGTGGTAACATAAATAAAAAAATAAAAATAAAATATTCCGACGAACTGATAACCTTCTCTTTTTTTGGAAGTCGGTTAAAAATGCAAATCATCTCTTGCCATGATAATTCAAAAATTCAAAAGGAAACATTGAAAAACGGTTGCATTCCTTCATTTTAGGTAAAAATTACATCGGAATATATGTGGGTCCAGCCAGACCTATGTGTTACTAATGTGATGTATTAATCAACATCTCTATATATCTAGATTTATATATATGATACCAGCACGACTTTTTACAGATTGGCAATTCACTAAACTTTAGTAAGCTACCTGAAATTTCAAGCCTTTAGCTATATTTTAAGTACCCTTTTTTGTAATTTGAAAATGGAAAAGGCCTGTCTGGACTCATGTGTCAGACGAAGGGTTAAACTGAACTACAAAGCACGTGGTTCCGTGTATTTTCTCTTTTGCGGAAAGCAGTAGGCAAACAAGGAAAAGGAAGTGCCTTATTATGAAGTCGGTATGTAATTCGAGGTATGTTTCATGAACACACACAGGTCATTTTAGCAAATAAATATGCAGCTGACATTACTTGAGGCTTGTCGGTAGTGAAAGAATGAAAACAACTGGTTTGACATTGGTGGCAATGCATACACGCATACATATGCATACATCAGATCCCAGTGAGAAAATAAAATGCTTTGCAGTGTAAAAGTTGGTACTCGAACACGCTACCATTCGGCTACAACATCTGTTGAGATAACGTGGAAGAGGACATAATTATATTTGTTATCAATCTTTTGTTTTGCTTGTGCCTTCAAAACTACAAATTATCTCTTCGATCGCTTATGCTACAAATACACATCTGAGTATGGTTCCACACGCTTTCCGGACTATTTCTGTAATAACAGCGTAAAAATAAGTTACTATCTCATAAGTGTCAAAAATTCCCAGAGCGTGAGGAACTCAAAAAACACATTTCGTGCCCGGAATCCCCAAATCAGCTCTAAACAATGATTTTATGTGTATTTATTTAATATGGCCAATAAAATGAGCAAATAACTACATGTTCTGAAACTTCTGTTGCATTTTCCATTGACACAACAGCTGTTATGGCAGTTTGACTTTTTGCAAATTTGTGCCCGGAAAAAAGTCCGATCCAATAGCGGAACGTATTCGCTATCTATTACCCTATTTTATAGCGTGAGGAACGCTTTATGGGCTGTCTGGCGGAATCCCGCGGCCTCGTGTGGAACAAACATAATACTACGACCTATACCACACTTGTGTCACGTGCAAATACAATATTGATATTGTAATTTCGTTGCCACATGGGTGTCCCAGGCATTAGGAATGCAATAATTCGGTTGTCTCAATGTTGCGGCCACACATTATTCGCTCGAAGTCATTAATCCTTTCATTGTAGAAAAATTCAATGCATTCCCTTTCTCCACTGGGATATATATGTATATGTGTACATAAGTGCATATAACCTAAATATGTGTAAGTATTTATACGTTTGCTAAAGCACGGAATGACAACGTTAAAACTCCATAATTTGGGCTTCGAATTAGCTTCTTAGTCAAAAATCAATATCGGTTTCGGGGGCGTAGCAGATATAAGCATAAATACAAAATGCATTTGCTTTTTTCACCAGAATTTTCGAAAGTGCACTGCGTCAAATCCCCAACCGGCAATTCGTTTTCTTGTCGATTATTTGGCAGTCCACTCAAAGTGCGCATCAACCTAATTTGCATTGTCATTGTTTGTAAACAAAATCTGTTTTTAGTCGTCATACGAAATGGAAAAATTCACATCTGCGTATTTTGAAAACAAAGCAAATCTTGGTGATGAAATCAAACCGCAATAAATTCACCCTTGTACTCGTACTCGTTTTGGTTCTCTCTGAATTCTCGCAGAGCCGAAACTCTCGTTTTGCTCTCGGAGCAGCTGTGCGCAGCAACACCAATATGTACTTTGTTTCGATTTTTCACACAAATATTCAACAAAGTAAAAAAACCATCACAATTTCACACGAAAACTTTTAAAACAATGGCAATGTAAATCTTTAAGAATATACTTACAGGTCATCTGTGAGTTGACCACTGCGGCCAGTAACAAAACTGCGGCAAATAATTTCATCATTTTGCTTCCTCGACTAATTAAAAACACACAGCAAAATAGTCCTTCCTCGGTTTTCAATGTAACTTCGCGTATTTTACGATTTCTTGCACACTCTCTGTATTGCTTTTTACTTATTTCGTGTTTCTTCGCTAAATGCACAAAAGAAAATGAATAAATTTCATTAGCACACGGCAATTAAATACTTATGTTTCCGTTGAAATGATTCTTAAATAAATGTACTACGTGGAATTTCACTTTGTCCGCCGATTAAGTCGGTCAGTTACACAAATTACTCCAAAGCAATGATCGATTATTCACAATGCAGATGATAAAAACGAAAAAAACAAATGAATGAAGGAATCACGAACGTTTTCTGCTTTTGATTGAATTTACTGGTGCTTGACAATTTCTCAAAACGCCTTCTCGATCTGATCTGATTCGCAATCGTCTATGTGCCTTTATACGCACTGGTATAGAAGGCAATTGTTGGCCTTTGATGAGTTAATGTGTTTATATATTGCCTGATAATGGTTTTCTAGACACAATGGTCGTATAATGTGGTAATCACAAATTGATTGAATTATGAATTCGACTTGAAAGGAAAATCTTTTTAGCGCTGTCGTAAAACTCTCTCCGTTGTTACCGAATGCGGATACTGACTGACTGCTGAAGAGACGCACCTAACACTTTTAAATGCCCCAACTAATCTCTCGCCACTGGTATAAGCGGACGCTCACATTCGGGCTGTAGACACTCACTTGTATTTTTCCTTATCTTTAAACAATTTTTCAATATGTCGGCTGAACATATGTATATATGTACATACATACATGTGCAGCTAAATAAGTCGCCTTTTTAATTTATTGCTGTGATATTGATTTTCTCTTGATTTAGGTATAAATGCTCTACACACGACTCCAATGCACTGCTATTTGTGACTTTTGTAAAATCGTGCTCATGGGACTAGTGCAAGTACGTTGTACTACGAGAGCATTCAAAAAATTATGCAATTCAATATGGCGACCATAATGGTGGCTGCCGTTGACCTGAGTCAGCTGGTTTTTGTTTTCCTTTGTTGTTTTCCCTACACATGGCTGCTCCAACATCATATCGGCAGAGATATGCCTAGAGTTGCCAGGCGTGTGATTTATAGACAGGGCTTTAAATGCTAAACAGGTTGTTGCTATGTGCAGGTATTCCGATGCTTTTGTTTAACACATCAAAAGGCTTATAATTGTTCGAGACTCCTCCGGCAGTACCACATCATTGAGAATGACAGCATATTAAGAAATCGCGACTGTGTGACACGTACGTAAATAGTTAATACATGCATATTTCCCGAAGTTCTAATTTCAATTGGCATTTCGAAATGAAAAGTATTACTACGCTAATAAGAGACATGACAAAATAGTTATGCAACTAAAAACTGCCCATCATCAGGATAAGCAAACGAATTTTTAAAATTACATACATATATACAAAGATGCCAAAAAAAATCGTTTTTATGATTTTTTTGTTAGGGAAAAATACATTGAAATTATGAGTGATGTTAAATATCCACAAAGTTTACAAGCACATTTTTGTATTAAAATTGTCTTCAATCCATACTTGACGACTTTGGTTTCAGAAGTAAGAGGCTTCAAATAAATGTTAAAACATTTTGGCCGTGGAATTGACTGATTTGGATCGTTCACGACAGCCGCCCGTACAGCAGCAATATACTCAGTACTTCGATTAACTCATTGTTCCACTAGTACGAGAACACCTACCAGCGATTCTGTAGGCCTGAACTTTTTACTAGGTTATTACGTTAATGAACTTTACCAAAGTGCGAGTGTTACGTTTACTGGTTGTTTTGACATTGACAGTGTACTGATTGCTCAAAGAAAGATCAAAGTTTATGTCCCTATTACAAAACCCATACAAATGTACTATGTAAATTATTATGGTTCTAAGTAATAATGGTTCAGAAATGCATCAAGCCAAAGCATCAGTTAGTTTTATTCCTAAACTATAATTGATGGGAATGTCTTATTTGCGCAACTAAGCTCCAATTCGGCATTTAACCGGGGCTCCGCATACATATCGGACATTTCCATCAATTATAGTGTAGAAATAAAATAGACTGATGCTTCGACTTCATGCAATTCTGAACGCACCCTAATTTATGTATACATTCATGTTGATCTTATAAAGCAATATGAAAATAACCTTTTGAAATTTAATGTGACTAAGTCTTATTCGTTAACATTAACGTAAGATAAAACATTTTACTACTGTAGGGTTAGGTTTGTTTTGGAATATTTGGAGAAAACCCAATTTGGCATTCTTTTGAAAACGAGGTTTTTAAATATTTCTTTAGTTTCTTGTATGTTATATCCATGATAAAAACATAGCAAGGTATAACCGTTCTCTCAATTTGTCGGCCATGATTTTTTTTTGAAGTTTGCCAACATTTTAAAATCATATAAAAGTGAAAATAAAAAATTGAAATTGTACGAAATTGTTGTTGCTTGAGATTGAAAATGAAAATGTGTGTGTGAGTTTGTGAGTAAATTTAAAAATTAAATTGTTTGGAAACGTCAAGAATTTTAAAAGTGACTCTCAGCGGTTCTACCTTACTATATTTTTATCATGGTTATATCTCCTCGCCGAAACTCAATGTTTAAGGCTGTTTTCTCAAGCAGTCAGATTTTCAAATTTATCTTCCATTCATGATTCAATAATACAAGGTTAGATAATTATTGACAGCTGCGGTTTGACACTCCCTTACAAAAGGTTGCATTTACGAAGGACAGAGAAAGGGCAAGAATGCAATCCCTTGTTTCGAAAATGGTAGTAGAAAAGTACGCAAAGTAGGCAATTAGTAGTGAAATTCCTTTCGTAAATTCTAATGTATTTGCAGGAAATCTGGCATTTTAAACGAAATGTTGAACGTAATATTGATATATCTACGTGAATTACGTAATTTATATGCTATTTAGCCGTATAAAAACTGCAAAATGACTCAAAATTAAAATAAGACTACTATGAGATTGATGCAAACATCCAATGCTTATGTTTTCATCAGTTAAATATGCTTCATATGCATATACAAATAAACATATTGGACAAAAGCTTATACTTTTATTTCATCCAAAGCTACACTGTTTCCATGTAAATTTGCAAAGAAGCAACACGGTGCCACTGCTAAGGGAGCGGTGCGAGAGAGACAACTGTCAGTTTATCGAACCTTGTATTATTGAATCATGTCTTCCATTTAAACACAAATTTTGTTCTCAAAAAATCTACTTGAAAACGACCTTAAACTGAGACAACAAACGACCTAAGCCCCAAGGCTGACCACGTCATATAAGCACTCGGCTAAGGCGGCAATAGCACTATTTACATCCGAAAATAGTCAGAAAAAATGCAATGATTTAATGTTAAAACAAGACCAAACGTGAATTTTTTTTAGAAATTTTTATTTGTTCTGCTTTTGATCTAAAAAACGTTGAACTTATTTCACTGCGCTCTTTTTTTAATTATAAGCTTTCTTTATTGTTAATATTTTTTATGTAATTTTTAGTCATGACTTCATAGCAACATAAGCATTGTCACTGTATGAAAACTACATATAATAATAGCGGCCTATCAGGTTTTTTCTTAATTTCGAAATCGGAAATCCGATTTTTTTCCATAACCCCAAAGACGGTTTCGGAAAAAAGAGAATAATAGAACACCATACACTTGGCCAACTTAGGAGTTTAGGATGTACCACGAATAACCGGAAAACTAAGTACACATTAAGCGCACTGAGCAGACGGACTGCAGACAACTTGTTGGGCTGCTGACCGGTCACTTCACGAGGCACAAACACCTCACTGTGATAGGCCTACATGACAACTTCATTTGTCCATCCAGTCTTGAAGAGGATGAGACGATGAAACACATTTTGTGCTTCTGCCCTTTGCAAGAATTAGGTATGAGATATTTGGTCGCTATGTGTTGAGAGTCGAACACCTGAGCTGCTTAACACCCAACAATCTCCTTAGGTTTATTCGTAAATCGCGCAGATTTAAAATAGTTTAAAAGGGACATGAAAACAGTACAATGGGCGGCATGTAGTCTGACTGTTGTTTTCTACACGCGTTGGTTCCGACAAAAAAAAAGCACATGACCTAAATGGCATTCAGCCAAAGGACCTTGCGAGGTTCCTTATCATTAGGTGGATCAAAGAAGGCCTGTGGTCAAATAGAGGTTTGCAACAATAGCTCGTTCTCGGTAACTACCTATGTAGGTGACCTGCACATATGCAAAATATTTAAACAAGAGGATGACACCACCCACTTATGATGAACTGCATATAAGACACCAGAGAAAAATTATGTAGCACATAATTTAAACAAATTGTATCGTAAAAACAGTGCCGCGCTAAGTAATAAAAGCACAGAAAACAGAAAAAGTTTACAACCTGGATTTATTTAAATAAATAATAAAAAGTTTTTATCAGAAGCACCAATTGTTACATTTAGCATTTCAGTAGTCTTAATGACTCTCTCAGTTCCAGCACATTACCTAAGATGAATTACGTTGCTAAAGACAAGTCAATCAAAGATGACATTTGTCAACGGGATTATGTATTTAACAAATTGATAGCGACGACAACCCTATAATCTCTCGAAACCTCTGTACGATTCAAGTGAGTCACACTCAGTATGAACCAAATTAAGGTATGGCTGAATGTGTAGCTAATAAAACAGCTCTACTAAGAGTCCACTAAGGTGGCCGCCATATTGCCGGAGCCATGTTATCTACTGAGCGGAGAGCCACAGCGACGAGTGCAAAAACAACAAGAATTATTTACAAGTATGTGAATATGTATGTATATGAAGGCAATATCGATCGAATAGAAACGACCAGACACGGGCATTATAAGCGACAGTTGAAAATTTTCGTTCCATTGAGACGTATGTATCTGCGCTGAGCAACAATATATAAACAAAGAAAATTTACAATATTTAAAACTACATTTGACAGTTTTAGTGAGGCATTAGGTTATTTATTTGGTAAGTTAATGGCTGGTTATCCAAACGCCGTTATGGAGTGAACTGTTTGAAACATTTAAAATAAGCAGCATTTTAAAAGGGAACATATTTTGAAAACACAACTCAAACGCGTTGGTTGTCGTATCAGAGAAAACACAAAAGACTTTGCGGTGCTAAACGAAGAGGTGAAAAACGAAGAAAAATACCGAGGCAAATACATACATAAGTACTTGAAACGCAATAAATGAATGCAAACAAAATTAAATATTTTCCATTTGTGTCAAAATTGAAGTGCTTCGTTTAGTTTGATGCTAAAAAACAAAAATAAAAACTAGTTTGAATCGATATTTTACCAATTTAAATCGCATATTTCTTATTTACAGAGTAAATTACTCTAAAAACGAAAATAATGAAGTCCTTTATTTCGGTCGCTCTCTTTGCGGGCATAATTGCCCTAACCAAGGCTGAAGATTATGCTTGCCACAATAATGTAACTTTCGGCTGCAGCAACAGTATATCAAGTGAGTACCTACATACTGCCATATGTATATGTATGTACATGTGTACATAAATAAAAAACAATAACTGTGATAAGAGCGCAGCGTCTTCCAAAACATCTGTATTAACTTCCTGTTTGTGTGTATTTT